AAATATTTTAAAAAATACTAAGTTTATATGAAACCTTTTCCTTCGTCAATATCTGATCAATAGTTTGAATATTTGCTGGAATGATAATGTCCCGAGAAAGAGAGGATGTTCGAAGAGACCAAACCAAATGAAGCACCAAAACACACGGCTGTAAAGAATTCTTTGCTATGTGAAATGAGATCAGGTTTTACACACGAGACCCTATGACCTAGTTACGTAATGATAAATCATCTTAAATATTTGAGAAACTGTTTGTGCAGTCAGATATAGTAGAAGTGTATATGTTTTGCTGATGATGAAAGTAAGACTTTCTACAGTCTCAAGACTACACTTGATTATCTCATTATATTGCGATGCACTGACCATGTCCGCTTTGCTTACGGCGGTTTTAATAATGAAAATATAAGTACTTGGGAACACACACATGTAAATGGAAGAAAAGAACAAAACGCACAGTAAGAAAGAACAATACATTTTACGATTTATTGCTCCTTTCACGTACACACACACACACACACACACACACAAGTAAAAATCGCTCACTCAAAGCGGACATGAGCGGCCATCTCGTCTATTATTAATCTTATGTTTATCAGTACTTCAAGCCAAACATTCTTGGTTAGAACTTTAAGGAAATAAGCGTGGGCAGAGCAATGACCAGACCAGAAAAAAACACCTATTCAAACAAATCCGATTTATCGTTACAAATTGCATCGCTCAAATAACAATTATAAGACGAAATTAAATAATGGATGAATTTGGACTACATCTTTTCTTATTTATGCATGACTTTCCTTGTAAAAAAGTTAAAGCACATCTAACATTTTTTGGAAGGTACAATTTAGACGGCAACATGTTTAGTTGATTGCCTGATAGCTCTCATTGGCTGTTTGCCTTGACAGTTAAGCAATTCCAATATATATTTTCAAGTGTTCTTACACTTCCGCATTATATATGTACACACACACACACACACACACACACACACACACACATATATACATATATATGTGGGTGTATGTGTGTGTGTGTACATACATATATATATATATATATATATATATATATATATATATATATATATATATATGTGTGTGTGTGTGTGTGTGTGTGTGTGTGTATACATATATAATGCGGTAAGAACACTTATTGGAATTGTTTAATACACACACACACACACACACACACACACACACACACACACACACACACACACACACATATATATATATATATATATATATATATATATATATTAACGATGTCAATTCCATACAGTTGAAATTCCCAACATTTAATAAACAACAGAACAAGCTCTGGCACTTTATTTACTGTAAGATTTTGCACAAAAGGGCAAAACGAAAATATATTGAATTTTGTACTTGTCTTTCTATATACTATACTTTTTAGAAAGGCCAGCTATCGAGTCCATATTCTCTTTCTGGGGCAGCCGAGAACTCAAGGCACAGAAGGTGGTTGGTGAAGATCATTCACGATCACTAGCTTCGGCCTCATTATCTGGCATAGTGTCAGATGTGGAGGATTCAAGTTGAAGAAAGGAAGGGGCCACAGAAAATTTGTGCTACAGCCTTTTCACATTGTGCCCAACAAAAGTCTCATCACAATTACTTTCATAAAAAGTTGAGGTTATTTTTAGGTTGAGCTTGTCGGTAATAATATGTATACATATGTGTGTATATATAAATATATATATATATATATATATATATATATATATATATATATATATATATATATATACATATATATATATATATATATATACATATATATATACATATATACATGTATATACATATACATACATATATTTGCATATACATACATACTTGAATATATATTCATATATATATATATATATATATATGTGTGTGTGTGTGTGTGTGTGTGTGTGTGTGTGTGTGTGTGTGTGTGTGTGTGTGTGTGTGTGTGTGTGTGAGATATTGATACTCACATTTCCATGGTGTGTAAATTATTATCAATATCATAGATTGTTTTATGATCTATTTCACTTATTTTGTTGTTTATAAGTTTGCTTATAATGACCATTCTTACTGATGTAGATAGCCTAGTAGTTTAAAAGCATATAAATATTGTGAGGACCAGCTGGTCGTTAGTTCAAAAATAATTGGTCTACTGAGGATAAATAAATTGAAAGTGATTTGGAAGTTATTGAAGAGGTAAATATGACAATATTTTTCCTTCATATCTGACACCTGCATCTAATGCTATTACATCATTAGACTTTAATAAACGACCACGAATTTCTGAGTATGATACACGTGGAAACTACCCACCAACAGACTGACTGCTGCAAAGGTAGAAACGTCCACATTTCCTTCCACATAAACAAGGAAAAGATACTAAAAGAAATTTCATAGGAAATCAAAGCGAAAGATTGGAGAAAGCATTTCCTGCTCGAAATTTGTTCAAGGTGCTTTCATTTTGCAAAACTCATATCCGAAACCAAGTGTTCCTGAATTTACGTTTGTGTTGTTACTTAAATCGTTTTATTCTGATTCTTATTTTTTCAATCCTGTTGATCATCATCATTACCATTATATTTACTAATGTCAGTATTATCAATGTTATTATCGTAGTTCTTATTATTCCTATTATATGATCAGCAATATGATAATGATAACAATGATAACAACAATAATTATAACAGTAATAATAATAATAGTAATTACTATTACTATTATCATTATCATTGTCATTATCATTATTACTATTGTTCTTATTATTGTTATTATGATGATGATAATAATAATAATAATAATAATAATAATAATAATTATCAATGATGTTGATGCTGCTCTTCTTATCAAAAATAATAATAATGATGATATTATTTCTATTATTATTATTATTATTATTATTACTATTATCATTATTATTATTATTATATTATGCTATTAATATTATCAGTATTATTATTATTGTAATTATTGTTATATTAATATTATCATTATTATTATTGCAATGTTAAAAAAATATCAACATTATTATTAGTAGTATTGCAATGTTAAAAAAATATCAACATTATTATTATTATTATTATTGTTATAACCATTATTATTAACATTAGTAGTTATTATAATGATCTATTATTGTTATTATTATCATTATCATTATTATCATTACTATTTCTATTACTATTATTACAATTATCGTTATTATTATCATTATTATTATTATTGTTATTATCATTATCATACTGTTATCATTCATTACATTATACTAATTATTGTTATTGATTATTATGATCATTAATATCATTACTGTTACCATAATCATGATTTTTGTTAATATTTTCAATATCTGTACTATTGTTATTATTATCTTAACCCATTGCCGCCGGGGAAAATTAACAAAAAATGGGGGAAATACACTACTCATTTTTTATTGATAATTACTATTATTGTTTTTATCGAGTGTTATCTTTTTCTTTTAATTCTTATTATTTCTATTGTTATCATCATCAACACTAGGTATTATTTTTATTGTTATCACCATTATCATTCTGATGATGATGATGATGATTACTATTATTATTATTTTAATTGCAATAATAATTTTATTATTATAATCATTATTACCTTTATTATCATTATCATTATATTTTTATTATCATTATTAACATTATCTTTTTTATTACCCTTATTATTATTATTATTATTATATTTATTATTATTATCATCATTATTATATATATCATTACTATTGTAATTAGCATTACTATAACTATTTTCATTGTTTGTATTATTATTCTTTTATTATTATCATTATTATTATTATTATTAATATTATTATCATTATTATTATTGTTACTATCATAATCTTCCTCATCATTATTGTTCTAATTGTTATTAATGTCAATATTTTTAATACCGTTATTATCATTACTGTAATCACCTTTTCATTATCGATATTTTTATTATTGTTATTTTTATCAATGTCACTATTGAAATAATAATAATTATTATTATTACTATTGCATTGTATGGCTGAGCACACGCCGACTCCAAGGACGATTTCGCCAGAAATGATATCATCCTCGGGCGCCACGTGGGTGAGACTGGGTCTTGACCATGTCACATGCTTGCCTTTTCAACCACGAAGCTATACGGTAGCTTCACCGAAGTGCCCTGCGCCCTGGTTACAGTTTTGTTGCCTGACCACCTGTGAGCATGTATATATATAGAAGACCCTCTTGGACACTACCTCACGCCAACCCAACCAGTACACTGGCTTCCAGCGCGTGCTACGCCAGGCCCTGTCTTGGACACAGGGTAGTTACCGTGGCCCCTTAGGCCCTGGTCCCCGCCGATGACCTGAAGAGGAATAAATGATGTGAGGGACCCTGTGATATTGCCTTTGTCCTGGATGGCTGGTCTTCGCTCGCCTTACATATCTCAGCTGGAGGGTGATATCATGACATCCCCCTTTTTTCAAGAAGCGGGCGCGCGCTACTGCGCACCCGCACGAGGCTGGTGCTTCACCCACCATGTGTGCCTCGCCCTCTCGCTCGAGTGCGACTTCATATGCCGCGACCAACGCCACACGAGCCAATAATGATAATGAGCTAAGGTGGACTTGGTTATTTTTATGACCACAGTATGATTACTTGGATGGCTTTGAAAATTTAGATGTACAGTCCGAAATGCCCAGTTTTCACTTACACTGTGTGTTATCAATTTTCCTCAGTATTCTATCCCTTATTTCTTTTTTCTTTAATTCATTCCTTACGGCGACGCTTCCAAAATGTCATATCTCCTGAAGGGAGTAATAGTCATCACATTTTTCTCTCTTCCTCCCTTGCTCCCTCTCTCTCTCTTTTCTGTTTTTTTTTTTTTTTTTTTTTTTTTTTTTTTTTTTTTTTTGGTGGAGGGGGGGGTCTTCGGACAGTCGAACTATGAGTTTGGTCTTCCGGTCCTTTGCGTATTTTCTTCGCACGCCATGCCTGGGAGTCTTTT